TTCTTAAAAGTTTCACTTAAAAAAAGGAAAGGACATGAAACTATTCAAATTTGTTCATTAATTTTCTTGAAAAGTTTCAAATTTTCCTGGAAAAATTTCGGAGATAAAAATTCCTAGTTGTGCTCGCGGCGCCAGCCCCCGCTCCGCCCCGACCTTGCCCCTTGACCCCGCCCGTCCCTGCGTTAGACATTCGCGTGCCGAGCGCGCCGCACGTTGTTCCCGTCTCATTATACACACAACAACACGCCGTAATTTTTCTCGGTTTCCCCGCACCTCGACGCCTTTCTTTCGACCGCGTTTATGTGTCGTACACACTCTTCAGATCATTCCCTCTTTATTCATTCAACCCGTTGACGCGGCGAGGGCGACCTTCGCGTGCTCGCGCGGTTCGCACGGCCTCCGCGACAAAATCTCACGTGGTTTTTATTTACTCTGCGTATGTATGTGAGCGACAGGGATGGGGTGGTGTGGGGGGTCAATTTCTCTTATATCATCATACCGACATGCCACCACCACCGCTCAAGCCCACCCCGTGAAAATAAAAATTAAAAAAAACACCACCTACGCGTTTTTTCCCTGTAAGCTTTAGGCCGTTTTCCTCTTTCTCTCTTATTCAAACACAAATACGCCGGGGTAGCAATCATCTGTGTGTGCATGTGCGCGAGCGCTGCGTTGGCCTGCGACTTTTTTTTTAGCTTTAGAAAGGATTTATGACTGCTTGTTCATAGCGAACTGGCCTGCGAGGCCCAATACGACGGGGACCAAGAGAGTTGTGAGGCGTTGTCGGGAAACTTTTTGAGCCGGGGGGTTGTGTGCGGCGTCGCGTCTGGGCAGCGAGTGGAGCCTCGGTGGTGATGGCTTGCTGGTGCCGGGGCTTGCGCGGGAGGGCCAAAGGAGGGCCAGGCCAAGCCGAGCGCGGAGAGAGAGGCCCTGCAAAGAGAGCGGCGGCGGACAACACCTCTTTCAGGGAACTCGTTGGGGGAAGAGGAACGCCCCGCCACGCCCCGCCACGCCCCGCCACGCCCCGCCACGCCGCGCCGCACTGGCATTTCAGAGCGGGATGACATTCCCTGTATGCTGGTGCAGTACCGCAGCGGGGCGGGGCGGGGCGGTGGCAGGTGGTGATTAAACCTCGTCCCAGACCTCCGCTTTCCTGGAACCCCGTCAAGAGCAAGGGGGAGGGGGGGGGGGTGCTGGGAAGGTACTCGCGGCCAGTTGAAACTTTACTGTAACTGAAAAAGTGCGCAATCGGTTACGATTTCGGTGGGCGCCTGGGGTGTAGGCAACCCAACACACGCCCGCGCGCTCCGCAGCAGACTGCAGGCGGAGCCAGAGCCCTGTATATACAGGCGCAGGCTCTCCACCGCCCCTGGCGAGGCAGGCTCGAGGGGGGACAGTGGTCCCCCACCGCCCCCGCTCCCCGCGGTATTGGCTGCATCGGCGGCGGCGTGGGGAAGAGCACGATACCAGAGCACGACCTCGGCCGCGTGCGAAGCGCTGCGGAGCGCCCCTCTCTCTCGCTCGCCGGTAGCTAAGCTCGCGGCCGCGGCCCCCAGTGCCCCGCCGCCGGCAACCACTCGCACGCAGCCTGCGCTCCCCCGCCTGCTTAGCCTTGCAGCATTATTCTATATTCAAATTCAGACCGAGAGGGGGGAAAGGCGGGAGGGGGCACGGCATGCCTTTGGTGGCTGCCCCCACATCGCTGCTGCTGCATCGGTGCTGCACTGGTGCATGCGCATGCTCATGATCAGCGCCCCGTGATCCGCGTGAGCGCAGCAGGAAGAGCCTCGGGAGAGCCTTTGGGAGAGAGCCTCGGGAGAGAGCCTCGGGAGGGAGCCTTGGGAGAGAGCCTTGGGAGAGAGCCTCGGGAGGGAGCCTCGGGAGGGAGCCTCGGGAGGGAGCCTCGGGAGGGAGCCTCGGGAGGGAGCCTCGGGAGGGAGCCTCGGGGGAGAGCTACGGGAGAGCCTCGGGAGAGAGCCTTGGGAGATAGCTATGGGAGAGCCTCGGGAGAGAGCCTTGGGAGAGCCTCGGGAGAGAGCATTGGGAGAGCTTCGGGGGAGCCTATGGGGAGCCTCGAGGGTGTGAGAACCCTCTACTTTATCGTGTTGCGGCGATTCCTTCACGACGCGTGTGTCCGTGTCCGCCGCGGGGTTGCGGGTGAAGGGGCGGCGGTAGGGGTGGGCCAGGCCCCGGCACGTCAGCGTGACGCAAAACACGTGACTCAAGGGCTTCTGGCAGCGCCTCCAGGAACTGTCGGTTGCGCGGGGGCCCCTCTGGTGCGTGGGCGGCGCCACCCGGCCTGGGGGGGGGGGGGGGGCATAAGTAGAAGGGGCTGCGTGATAGCGGCACCACCAACGAGATCATTGCTAACGGTGTCGCCGACTCTTTGTTCCAGATGCGGTCAGCTACATGGGACCGCCTCTCCCGACCTACGAACTGCCGGACGAGCAGCTCGTCCAGATCGGCTCGACCGCCCGACTCTTCTGCGAGGCATTTGTGGGTAAGTCGCAGTGTCCAAGAGTGCCAGGTGGCCGATTCGCCCCGTCCACTTCCTCCGGCGGCCGACAGAGCCCAACTCTCTGACCAAGGCGCCTTTCGGCACGGGCGAGTAGGCAACCCGCCCGCACGCGTGCGTGCAGTACAGTCTACCTACGGTAGCGGGTGGGGCGAAACAGCCACCTGGTGCTTACGGCGCTTACCCTCTCTTGTCTCCCGTGTTTTATCAACTGTGGACTGTAACCGTTCTTGTTCCGCTACAGGTAGTATCGACCTCCCCGATGCCCAAAGTGAAATCACGTGGAGCCGGGTGGGCATGAACACGTCTTACTTGGAGGAGCAGAGGAGGTTCACGTTAAGGAGTGTGGCCAGGTCAGTGTTTAGCCAGAGTTCATATTGAAAGTTAAATTTGCGTTTTTGTATCGTCTAATTGTTTCTATTTCATGTTGTTTTAGGGAAAATAATCAGGTGCTTGGGGCGTACCTCACAATTAGAGGAGTAAAGAAGGAGGACCTCGGTCCATATGAATGCCGTGTGGTAAATGCTGGAGACCAGGCCATTCTTATAAAATTATGGCTGCGAGAAGCAGGTGAGCCTGTTCACCTGCCACTTTACAACTTCTTCATTTTGATTCTTCAAAGTAAAACAACAGTTTTCTTATCATGTAACATCATTTGTGTTTTTAGAACCTTCTGAACCGCTGAGCACCAATCCCAAATGGCGACAGCTGGCTTGGGCAGCTATCGTTGTGCTTGCTGTTGCCATTATCTTAACAGCTTTTCGGCATCGTCTAGGAATTCTTGCTCTGTTTTGCCGCCATCGTCTTGTTCAACCAGACTTACAAGGTAATACTTGCTTATTATCTTATGTCTTGAATTATATTTTCTGATGTATCAAATTTTAAAACTTATGTTTTGTTTCATTTTCTGCTGTAGATGGTAAGGATTATGATGTCCTGGTCTCATACCTTGAGAGGGATAGTGGATTCGCCTCAGAAATGCTGACAACTCTCAAAGAGCGTTACAGTTATACCTGCAATGCATTTCAAATATTTCCCAATGCTGACTTTTGTGACTGTAAGTAGAATGAGTTATATTGATTAGAGTTAATTCATATTATTTCAATGCATCTCATCGGCTTGATTATGTCTCATCACAGGTGCTCAAAATTTGAGAGAGGCTGCCAAAAGGTCAAGAAGACTCATGGTAATCATCAGACCATCCCTGGTTGAAGCGCTAAGTGGCTCAGTGGTGATGAACACTCTTGGTGGTTCAGCTTTACCTGATCGGGTGACAGCTCTCCAGAATCTTGACGATGTTGATTGCTGGGATACCTCTGTGCTGGCTTCCCTCCTGCAACAACTAATTAGACTTCATCCACAGCCTGTCTGTGTATCTCTCCAGGTAATATTGTCACTTTAGAGTCTTATGAAATGAAGGAAGGGTAAAGTCAAAAGCCCATGCATAATCTACTTTGAATGATTTTTTCCAGGCTTTGCCCCAAGGCTATGAAATGAGGGACCACAACCTTGCCAGTCTCCTAAGAATAGCCCCGGTCATTGAATGGAATCAAAAGAAATCTTTGTGGTTCAAAAATTGGAGTCTACTTCGTCTGCGACTGCCTCCCCTGAGGACAAAGAACTCAACCCCATCAGGAAGTGTAGCTATTGTATGTCCAGGATCTCGTAAAGAATTAGGAACAGGGAAGGTAGTGACAACAGTTGTTAGTAGCAGATCAAGGAGGTCGTCTCCCATGAATGGCAGCCTAGAAATTTTAGTGTGATATATATATTTATCTATAACTGCATTTTCATTAGACTGTGAAACTTGTACAAATTTGTGTAAGTTATTTACCTACCAAAACTTTTTTGTTGTATATACCGTCCGTATTATACTATGTAAGCAATGTAAGTGACTGTTAAGTTTTGTTTGTTTTTTAATCTAAAAGTGAAAAATATTGTAAGTGGTATCTACTCTTTATGTATCAACATTATAAGAATCAAGCTAGTATGTATTGCAGGGAATTCCCAAGGTCAACACATTTTTGAAAGGGAAAAAAGTTCAGCACGAATATTCTGTGCAATACATAAACCTCTCAAAGCTCCCGATCTGTAATCTTGTTTGTAATCTTTAAATTTGGATGTTTCCAAAGAATGTGTTTAATGTTGTAGAGTTTGTAGCTTTTGTACATACTGCAGGATATTCATTTCAATGTCATGAATTCCTGACAAAATCATTTCCCTACTCTTAAAATTATAGTTTTATGGTTTGTTTCTTCCTTTGTTAAAGAAATATGTATTACTGCCTATCTATGTAGCATCACGTGTTATGAAATGTACATAATATATTTATGTGTTTAAATTTTCGTATCCTGGACAACTGTGATATTTGAACTCCAGGTACCCAGTGACCTATAAGTGGACTTTTTGAAGTCCAAAAGTGATTTTAGGTCATGATCTAATGTTTGTGTGTTCTGTACGTAATGTTTTCCCTTACTGTTTTTAGATACTTTGTAAACCTAATTTATTGTATGTATACGACGTTTGTTGATTGATAGGCACTAGAATTTGTTATAATCAGTGTAAACAGAGGTTTTTCTTTAAAAGAAAAAAAATATCTTGTCTATTGTAAATATTTATACCATGAGAAGTTGGTGTACAATACAACAAATTTTAAGAGCTATTGTCTGGTTTTCTCTGACTCCCACTCCTCACCTCCATGTACACAACACGTACGCAGAAAAGTGTTTGCCAGAGCAGGTAGGGTGTCGAAGTGTCCAGATTGTTTTTCGTTTTTTGGGGAGGGGATTTGGGTCATAGACCAAAAACAGTTTTAAAAATAACAAGACCTCCATTTATTGATTTAGATGACAAATGTACAATCTCTTAAACCAAAATGTGAGTAAAAGTTGAATGGCTAACAAATGTACACATATTATTAAAGTTTATAAATCTGAATAAAATTTACAATAAGGCATATATATTGGCAAGCAATACAACAATATATACAATTTATGTTATGATACATTCAAAAACATTCAACATTTTCTTCTTAATCTTTAAAATAAATAAGTTGACACATGTACAGATGTGTAAGGTACTTCAATTGGTTACGTATGTGAATAAGAACAATTCAACATGCATGTAAACCTTAAATTATCTGACATGCTTATCCATAACGGAAACTTTAACATGACTATACACCATCTTTATAACAGTTACTAAAATCTATTATTGAGGTGGTGTTGGTTCATCAAACAAATGTGTCAGGCAACAGACGTTCCATAACAATGCTAACATTTCAATTATTTAGTAAAAACTAATGTTCTAGAGACACACCAAAATATGAAGGTCTTCCACTACTGGTGATCCTTAAACTGGAGAGGGAAGCAAAGCAGCACAACATACTGTCACAATGCAATCTTATTTTGGTTGATCTATAAAACAATTTTATTTATTTACAAAGTCACTACCTTTTGACAGTGTAAATTTTACACTGGTTATCCTTGTTACAGGCAAAAAAATAAGAAAGTCAACAATTAACTAACCAGCATGGAAGAGCTGATGTTTTGAAGTACAACACAATGGCAGTACAAGGATATCCTGAAACACTACTGACATACAAAAACAGTAAAACAGTCAGTAACGACAAAAAGCTATTTTAGCATCTGAGCTGCTGAGCACAAGAGACTCAAAACTGCAACAAATGTATAATAAGGGTAACGACACTAAAGTGAGTAGCCAAAAGGAACAATTTTTTATTTTTTTTGAAAAAATACCTCTTACTGTGAAAGAACCACAAGTAAGAGAAAAAGTACTGAGAAGTCTTGGTAAGTAATCCATAAATGCTAAGACTTTAACCATGAATAACAAAAGCATACATGATGATGTAACCAGCAAATAATTTGCTTCTGAACTGATTGTCAGAAAAACGTTAAAAATAACTCAAAAATGTCACTTCATTATTAATATTTTTCAAATAAAATTCGCAATTCTCTGAGAAATGTCAGAAACTGTCAAGTTAGATAAAAAACAACTTAAGTCATATGGCAAAAAGGGGGGGACAAACAAGGTGCAGCTCTTCAGTCTACACCAACTGAAAGTGAGCATATTCATTACATTACCTGCAGAACCAAAAAATAAATGCAGTAAAATTCAAACAGGCCTCAAGGTTAAGAAAAAGAAAAACAGTACTTAACAGAGTGAACATCTTTTGTGGACCAAATTTAATTTAAGTAATCTGTCACTGCAATCAAACATTGAGAAATCATAAAGGTATTAGATAGATATTGCCTCAGCACAACGGCCTCCGATTGTCCATTAGTAACTCCGCTAATAAAATAATCTAGATAGTGACAGCACAAGAGAGGAAAAGGCACTAACAATATCAAAACAGCTAGCACATCATTATGCAATGGATCACAATACATAGCAGCAACATACTATGACAAGGTATAATTTTCAACAAAGAACTAGCTCAGTCCTTATAGGGCCCACAACATACATGACTTTAATTCTTGAATAAGTGAACCAAGGATAACTTAAAAAGAAAGCTCAAGGTCTGAGAAATTCCAAAAATATTGCTTACCAAAACTAGCACCACCTTGGAATGCTCCCCATGGCCAGTTTATCACAACAGCAAAGCAAAGTTTTATCAGACAACTCTGATACTTTTAAAGACAACAGGAAAAACAAAATGGAAACAACATTTAAAGTGCAATTTGCAAACCAAAAAAAAACAGTGCTTCAGACAAATTAGTTTGAAAGAAAATGAAAATAAAAGGGTACATGGCACAATAAATAGGGATGCAGGTGAACCATTCTCTCATAAACATCATTGAAGAGTGTTGTGAGACATTCACCATTAACTATCTATACTTGGAACTTTGTTATTTTTACTCAGGAGCACAGCTCATGACACTTTGGAAGAGATTATGGCTGATGATGAATGCCCCGTAAGTAGAGGTTTAGCTTGCAAATAGTGCAAGTAAAGAAACAGCAAATCATACACAGACAAAAAGCAAAAGAGAAGAAATTAATCTTAATTAGAAATTTGACAGGAAAGGGAAGAAACTGAGAAATCAGAAACACAACATTTGGACAATAATATTTTTGCAGTAAAAATAGATTGAGAAGGATTTGTTAACAGCTAGAGATTGCTTGTACGGGTAACATTGATTCAAACATAACTATGTCAAGAGACCTGAACATTTATAAAAACAATTAAAAATATACAAATTATATAAAAATATATAATGCCAACGTAAACATATCCTACATACAAATAAATATATATTCAAACACACCAGACTATTCACGGTCACTTTGTCAATTAAATGACAAACTCTTCATAAAACAGCATAGCATTTTACAAAAAAAATGCTCTAACCTAAAAATTTATCAAATATCACACTATTCCATCCATTTCTTCACAAAAGCTTGTAAAAGAAAAAGATAAAAGAAATCTTGGCAAAAACAAGAATTAATATCTGTACAGTATGATACAAAACACAAACGTGGTGATAAAAAATTATCTGTGATGTTTTGAACAAAGTCTAAGTAACACCTAAAAATGAGTAGTTGTGGAGCTGAACACAACACCAGGGAATACCAAAATCAAGATTCAGGGCAGTGTAGAGTGGGTTGGAACACATTCTTTATCACAACACTTTAAATCAAAGCCCACTTTCCTGCCAATATTGGAAAAAATACAGCACTGACAGCACTTTAAGCATTTCCAGACCCTTGTTAGAAGTGTACAAGAGAGATGAATTGCAGCCTCTTCAAGATCAGAACGAGGATCGGATCACAGATATACAGCCCACAAAGCCACAGCCGCGGATTGGGTCAGCCCTGGTGATAAATACTGGCTCTGAAGATCATTGTGCAAACCAGCCCAGCATCCCTAACATTACTGAAGACTGGGCCCACAGTCTAGTTCTGAAAATGAGAAGTTGAGATGGTTATCCAAGCTGTACTTGACATCTTGAGCTAAAGCCAACAGTTCTCCATCGCCGTCCGTTCCCTGCTGAGGTGTGGTACCTGACGTGGGAGCCGTCCCCGGGGTGCCCGGAGTGCCCGCTTCCGACAGAGTCCCGGACGGCCCCGGGGTGCCCGCCTCCGAGTACGTCCCCGAGTGAGGCGTGGAGCTGGCCGCGCTCGGGGCGATGGGAGTGGAGCGCCCCGTGGGAGTCATGCCGGCCTCGGCCTCCGCGGCCGCTGCGATCCTGTCCGCGTCAGGGGTGTTGGCCAGAGCCTCAGCCACCATCTGCAGGTCTTCGGGGGTCATCACCATGTCATCCATCACAGACTCGGAAGGCTGAGTTTGGTGGGAGGGTGGGCTTTGTAACAGCAGGGAATCAGTCTTGGGTCTGTCTAGCTCCTCATACGGGTTGTTAGTAGGCGCGCGTGACTGCGAAAAAGTGTCTGCTTCACACTCGAGTTGAGAAGCGTTGTGTCTCTCGCTCGGATATAAATACTCAGACTCTTGTTCTGGTTCCTCTGCTTTTACTTCACTGCCCCGTTCATTGTCAGCATCTTGCTCAAGATCAGACTCAAGACCAAAATCTGAGCCCTGTTCATCAACATCTTTATCAGCCTCATCCTCAGACTCTTCATTCAGGTCTACATCTGCATCAGAGTCTGGTTCATGTTCTGATTTTACGTCGTTTGGAGTGTCCACCTGTGCGCTGCTTCCTGCCACACAATTGTTGTCAATTGGTTCTTCCTCATTTTGAGAGTCAACAGGTTCAGAGGTTTCTTCAACTTTTGGTTTTCTAGGCTTGTCCTCATACTGTGATCGAAGCTCAACAAGTTCAATTCCTTCATAATGTCTTTTCATTCCCCTAGGCAGACCTCTGCATGATGCTAAATTAAGGGAGAATAGATTCAGACAGTTAATGAGGACTGCCTTTACAGGGTCTAAACTCACAGATGATCCACACAGGTTCAAAATTCTGGAATCAAATCATCAATCATTGACATTAAAAAAATTTGTAAAGGAAAATTGACATAAGACAGTTACTGTAACAAACTACAGAGAGCAAGAAAACAAACCTCAACGGAGATGTAGTTCCTTTCTCTGGAACTTCAGCAAGAGCCCCTACAGCAAGATCTAAGGATTCAGTGGCAGAGCTCCACGCCAAATCAAGTTCTACGAGACTGTGACCCCATTTCTGGGTGATTAATTCTAGTCCAGAATCAGATATCCTCGTTGCATAACAGCCTGCAATTTGAAGCAAATTTAGTTTTAAAGTGTTTTTTCTAAGAATCATGCATACAAAATTGGCAGACGATGGGGGAAACTTACCCGAGAGAAATAGGTGTTCAAGGTCCCAGGCAGGAATACGAACAAGGCTTGATCCTGTGATTTTACTACAACCACGGACATCCAGCAAGCGTAACTTGTTTGAGGTTTTTAATATCCTTCCAATAGCATCATCATCAATTGATGGTTGTGATGTTACAAGGCTATCCATGCGACCATTGGGACATGCAACACTCAATTCTTCTAAATTGGGGAATCCAGGAGACTCAACCTGAACATAAAAGAGGAAAATAATAAAATGGGTAACAATTACTAAAGCATTTTTTGAGAGATTTAAAGAGAGGTTTTCACCTGTTCCTTGATGCTGACAGGTGCTAATGCAAATTGACTGTTTGTTATTCGAAAGACACGAAGTTTGGAGCATCCCTTTTGCAAATTTTCAAGGTGGATGTGAGCAGTAGCATGAGATACTGTGCGTATGTTAGACATATCTAAAACTTCTAGATTTGGACATGCTCCCTGTAAAAAAATATGAACATCAGATGCCTTTCAAGTGAACAACTTTTGGTTCAGATATGCCATTTTTAAAACTTACAGCTATTGCCATGACAATCTGGGGCACTCCAGCTAGCTTATTATTGGCTAGAACAAGGTGAGTTAATCTGTCACCCATCACAGATGTCAGGTGTTGCATAGAACTTAAGGATACAACAGCACCTTTGTTATTGTGCGCCTCCGGCTAAGCAAACAAAAAAGATATTATTTCATGAAAGAGGAAACTTTAAGTTTAAACAGGTTTAAATGCATGGCAAAGTTAGTGCTTACATTAACTCCAGACAGATCTAACTTTTGTAAGTTTTGGCAATTTGTAACGAGGAACATAATATGTTCTATGTGGAGCCCTTGCCAACCTGTTAAATTAAGACCTCGAAGCTCAACACAATTGTTGGCAATTACATCAAGTAGTGCTGGGATGCCAGAAAACTTCCATCCACCTGTTAAAAAAGGGATTTGAAATGAATAAAATAAATTCAAAAAATTATAATTTTATGGAATAATACTACGAATAAATAAGTATGTGGAGGACAGGTACATTTACACTGCCTGTACTGCCAAAATTAGGGGAAAAAAAGGGGCAAGAACTTACCTAGATTGAGTTCCCGAACACGTGTTAATCTATTTTCACATAGCCAACGGAAAGTATGATGATTTTTAGCACGATCTCGCACCCAGGTACTACAGAGTTCAATGGTGTGCCATAGATCAGGAGAAGTAGCCACTTCTCGCCAGTGTCTGCATACCCGTTGCATTCTGGAAGACCCAAATAATGCACGAATTATTATAAAACTTGGCATATTCTAAGGATACTTCACTTAAAAAAGAAAGCCACTATTTTACCTGACAAGGAAAGGCACACAGCCCTCATCATAGGAAACATATTTAAATATTTTATGAAGAACTTTCTTTGGTAATACATCAGAACCCCAACAGCTTTGTTCCTTTCCTTCATCACTTGGATCTGAAGCCTGTTTATGATTAACACGTTTATGATGGCCACCTTCATCAGAATCAGAATCAAGGGCTGATTTGTTTTTCTTTTTACGAACTCTCTGTTTGGCGGGCTTTTTAACTGGTTCTGACTTCTTAATTCTAAGTTTGATCCCATTTTGACTTGAGATCTGGCTCTGGTAGGTCACTGTAGTTCTTGGTTTTGGAGGGGCTTTAGGAGCACCCTCGCCAGTTTTTCTCTTGCGACCCCGTTTAACTGTACCCTGAGCTGTTGTAATATCATAATTAGCAGTGCCACTAGGAATTCCACCTACACTGAGCAATGATGCATCACAAGGATTATCATCAGTTAATAAATCATAAAGACTAGGTGCACCAAAACCGGTCTCTCCACGAGGATCATTACTAATTAATTGAGCTCTGATAGCTTTTCGTTTCTTTGCTTTTCCTCCAGATTCGTCAGCCTTCCGCCTCACTTTCTTGACTTGACTCATATCCTTCTTCTTTTTTGCTCCAGAAGTCCCAGCTCCACCATACATATCTTGTACAGGCGTAATAGTTAACACATCCTGAGAAGGTGGAGTCCTTCTCAATTGACCTAACACTTCACCCCTATCTGCCACACACACAGTTACACCACTTGGTAGTCGCTCTGCAGCTAGCCTCTCTAAGGCAGCTGGAGAACTACCCTCACTGCATGATGCACTGTAACTAGCACCATTCATATCATGGGCGCCCATTGGTGAGGTAGTCATCATGTTGATTCTTCCCGGCGAGGTGCTTGGTCGGCTTAGATGGCCTGGTGATACACTTGGGATGTTGCTAGCAGGAGAAGCATTAGAAAAATGACTTGGAGATGATTGAAATGGACTTCTTGATGCTGAGGCTGCCATAGGACTCCGTACAGAGGCCGATTGCAAGTTCAAAACATTTGGGGAAGGAACTGGTGGAGCAGACCTACTAGGGGAAGCACTTGGTTTACCCATACTCGAGGCTGGGCTTGACATGTTCGAATGCATACCCATGCCAGCTGGAGATGAACTAGCATGCATTCCCATTCCACCAGGGGAAGCACTTGAATGCATTGCAGGAGAAGGATTCGAACGAATTCCCATTCCACTAGGTGAGGCACTTGAATGAATTCCCATTCCACTAGGTGAAGCACTTGAATGCATTCCCATACCACTGGAGGATGCATTTGAATGCATTCCCATGCCACTGGGGGAAGCGCTGGAGTGCATTCCCATACCACTTGGTGATGCACTGGAAAGCATTCCACGATTGCTAGGAGAGGCATTTGGATGCATGGCTGGTGAGGGATTTGAATGCAAACCCATTCCACTTGCTGGTGCTGAATGCAAGCCTGCCGTAGAGTGCAGGCTGAGCCCAGCTGGTGAAGGGGACGAATGCATCCCCATCCCACTAGGTGATGGCACAGAATGCATCCCTAAGTTACTGGAAGATGACGAGGAGTGTAACCCCAGTCCTCCAGAGGGAGGGTTTGAGTGCAAGCCCAAACTGTTATTTGGTTGGCTATGCAAAGGTAAACTACTTGTGGCAGAACCATGTATTGAACCACTAGGGTGTAAACCCATTACACCAGATGATGGTCCAGCGTACTGATTAGTGGATGAATTGTATGAGATTCGATTGGAAGTAGCACCATTTCCAGTCAAACCCATACCCAAACCAGATTGGTTAGGTACAGCAATGCCCATGGCACTACTATTCATACTCAAGCTGTTATTTTGCATTGCTCCCCTTGATGAAGAGCCAGGTAAATTTACGCTGGAGGAAGACATTTGTTGCATTCCTGCCAAATGTGATGACATATTCGGCAAATAATGTGGAGCACCTAACGAAGTCTCCACAATAGATGCATTGTGCATGGACAATGAATCCAAGCCCCCATTACTTTCATAGCAATTGGAGCTTGGGTAGCTGGTAGAGTTTGAGACACCACATATCCCTGGATTAGCACCATACATCATTCCTGACTGCATTTGTTGCTGCGGTCGCTGTTGTTGTGTTTGCTGGTGCATAAGGTTGTTGCCGTACATGTTTCTAGTTGGTTTGGATGGCTCTATGAGGAACTCCTTCATGAAGAAGTCCTCATGATATTCGCCATTGAGGTCATCCATTTTAGTTGCTCGGCGCAGAAGCGCTGGGAATGGTGACTACATGGCTGTGATAAAAATTCAGCCTGGCCAGGTTTGGCACAGAAGAAAGCTGTCCGTTCCCATGATGCAAAGAGCTAAATCGGACATAAATTGAAAGTTATTAATTAGAGGTATGCTCATCTGAGGGATTTAAAGAATGACTCAAACTCACATTTTCTCCACCACTGACAGCTTTTAAAGCATACAGCTTCACTATCTGAAATAAGAAAAAATAATGGCAAGGTTAAGGAAGTTAATTGAAAGAAAGTTCCATAGCAAAATTAAGTATAACTTAACCAAATTCTGACAGAAAAATAATTTGTGATAGTAAAACCAAATGAAAACTTGAGAAAAGATAGAATCTTGATACAAATGACTAGTTGAGTTTCCTTGGTGCACGGATATTGAGTTTTTTGTTAGACCTCATTAATTACAATACCTTTTTCAACACTTGGTACAGAATATCAAGCCCAGTACATATACCAAATAAATTATAAAAGAAGAAAACATCTTTACCCCAAACCTCAGAAAGAATTGTAATGGTATAAAACCTGAGATCAATGATGAAACAACTCCTTAAATAAGGGAAAGAAGCCCAAAGAGATAATCTTTTGGATATTTCCTCATTAGAAAATCATAACCTGACATTTTAAATGTTGGGGCTTAGTGGCTACAAATCCAACTGAAACTGACATAAAAATCCATTTAGTCATCCACCCCAATTGAAGTAGATAGTAGAAAACGTTCGGTCCCCATTTAAACTGGAAAGTATGTATCTTGAAAAGCTAGAATAAGGTTATGTTGCAACTCCTAGTGGAGACAGCAAATATGACATCAGGAGAGATGAAATAAATTATCACTCATTGGCTTCGATTCAGAATGGTGCCAGATGGTTTGCTACAACAGTGAACGCAAAGAATCCTAACGTGATACGGCATTGCAAGGCAATATCACTAAGTCGCATCATAACTTTTTCCAACTTTCTATGAGATAATGACATTATGAGAGCGAATTCACAACACTTCTGCATGCCCGACAAGCTTCAGAGTCGTTAATCAAAGGCGATTTCAAGATAGTAGCAGAAGATAGAATTTTGTTTATTGGGAAGGACATACTTCTTGCTGATATGGCACCCACAATGGAGAAAATCCTAATTCAATATTATGATACAGGCTAAGCTGCTCGAGACCTACTTCCCCCCAAAAAATCGCTTATCAAAACAAACACCACTCACCTCGCGAAGAAGATTGTATTCTTAGTCTACAGAACAGATCAAAGCGACGGACAAATCCCACACATCCTTCAGCGCCCAAAGGTACAAATTGTCTCGAAAATGGGCCAAAATCGTTAAAAAGTTCTGCTCCAAACTTGTTGTCACGGCGCTAGCCTACTTGACCTTCGATCTAAATAATTCTAAACAACACGAAGCGAATCTGCTTGCGAAGAAGCCCGCCAGATCGCGCTCAAAGTTCAGCTAGTAACGTTGAAAATTTTACAAAAAACTTGATGTTGACACTCAGAAATTGGATAGAAAATAAAATTACACTGGCAATTTTGAACAGAAATTGCAAGAATTCGTAGCGTACCTAGAAAGTCTGCTTTCAAAAACCGAGATAAACCTGTTCACCGTCAAGTTGATTCTTACAACGAAACCGACCGCTAATTTGGAGCACTCCGGTTTATATTTGTACGTCATTTACAGACGTGAAATTATTTTTTAACTAAATCTCAGCGTGCGGAGATAGTTACTTTTGTCTGAAAACGAGCCCTGTATTCCTTTATATCGCTTTCGGCGTTTCGGCGCGTCGATTTGCTACGGTTGCAGGTGGCGCCGTCTTCTGGTCAGATGGGTAAACTCCGCCACACTCACGCGACGTCAGCCATCTTCTTGTTGGTTGATGGTTGAGTTGGGACGCAGCGAAAAGAACCGGAGCGTCGACAGATTTTCTGAGTGTACCTCTTCTTCAACGCCGGTTGTGTATAACAATATACACAAATCCGGCTCTGCCTTTCAAGACCAACCCGCCGCTGACCGACCTTTTTAAGGTGAGTTGAACTTTCGGAAATCGTTGAACATTTGTAACGATGGTGATCGGCTTGTTGGGCTGAGCCCCAGCACCTCCGCCATGATGGCAAAGCAGTTGTTCGTGTACGCCGGATTCCTGCGTACATTTGTGCGCGTCTAGACTCTCACAGACGCGTATTCTTCTAGTCTCAGAGGTATCGATAAAGTCATCGTCATTACCCGATCATTAGTAGTTTGAGGCCCACAGAAATTTTCTCACTGGTTGGAATATTTGTATGTGTACCAAGGCCAAATTCCCATTAAGCTGTTCGCTACGGGGGGACGTTTCCCATTATCCGCCCGATCGATATCTACACTTCTGGTCGCCTTGAGGCCCGCTTTAACCCGGCTGGGTTTTAGATGAATTAGTCTTAAAGTTAATTCTAGAGAACGCTCATGGTTTTGGTTGTGTTTGTTATTGTTTTTCCCAATCTTGATCTGGAGGATTGTGTGGGTGGTTTCATCCTGTTGGCGCTGGCGCATCGGAAACTGTCATGCTATTGATTTTCTTCAAGTTGCTGACACATTTGTTTTCCATTCTTTCAGGTTTGACAATGTCCCGCCATCGTGAGTGGGAATTATCATGCAAAGTATATGTTGGAAACCTTGGCAACAATGCCTCAAAGCATGAGCTGGAGAATTCATTTAGCAAGTATGGACCCCTCCGCAACGTTTGGGTAGCCCGAAACCCTCCTGGTTTTGCTTTTGTTGAATTTGAGGACCCAAGGGATGCTGAGGATGCTGTTCGAGGACTGGATGGAACGTAAGTTAAAATTAAAATCTAGGATTTTGCTGTGAACTGTTCATATGTTGAAACTTACACCTCTGTTTTGTTTAATTCTCCAGCCGTTGTTGTGGGGAAAGAATGCGTGTGGAAATGTCCAATGGACGTAGCCGAAACCGTGGTGGTTTTGGTGGTGGTGGCGGCAGTGGTGGTGGCGGCGGCGGCGGTGGCTATGGACGAAGACCACGCTCAAGGTAAGTTCTTGGGTGACATGTCTTTTTTATGTCATTGAAGACTAAATTCCTAAACTGATCTCGTATTGTATGGAATCCCATTCATGCAAATTCGGTCTCTTTCGTTTGGAAATCATAATGGTGCCATAATCGAATATGTGCATAAGGTCTTCCTGTCTTCCTGTTGGTAAATGGGGGGAATAAGTACATCATTGAAACCATTTACACGTCATATGTACCAAAATCCTAAGATATGAAGATTTCTTTATTTTTTTTTAGTTTTCTTTGATTTTGAGAACATTTTATTTAATGTTGAATTGTGGATTGTCGTTGATCCAATTTTTTTGGTACAGAAGTTTATTTGTTATTTGCACTAGTGTGATTCATATTTTGAGCTTGAGTGGTGACGCTCACTTGAAACTCACGTTTTGGCCATCACATAGTTTTCATTAACCGTAGAAAGTCATGCACCTATGAGATTTTCTTGGTCACCTTGGCCTTTACTGGTGAGGGGTCAAAACTGAGCTTGTCACTGGTGTGTGTTCATGTTTATATTTTTCATTGGGAATAGAATGCACATTATTTTAAACACGTGAAGAGTGTTTAAATTGGTTTATTGTACCTCCTGGTTGGTTTATGTGCTCCTCTCAATTCAAACAAAGAAATTAATAGTAGAAAAAGAAGTGTTGAAAGTGATGTAGTAGTATCAGAATCAAGTCCAGCTAGCCTAAATTTGCTAAACTTTTTGCAATCATGATTGTCATATTAAATTTTGGTAGCAATCAAAAGTTGTCGTGGTTGGGTGGTGTCAGTGTTCTGGTGAAGACTTGTGGCTAAAGTTCCTATAATTTCGTAGGCTTACGATCATTATGGTTAATTTGCAGGCCACTACTGACTCCTACACTACCTCATCACTCTCCTGACATCTCGTTCCGATTAGTCTATGCAACATGATTCTGGCTGCAATGAACAGTCAATCAACTTGAACGATAGGCCTGCCACCGAGCGCGGACAAGTTCCGCTGCACTACCATGCAACTACTACTACTACTACTTCTACTACTACTTCCATCACCACCACCCCTGTCAGATCACAATTGGCTGCCTTTCTTCCCACCCCAAGTGGCCATTCTACATTCGCCTCGCTCGCTACTTCTGCCAACGTTCAGCCAACCAGATGGTATATTCTACACGCACATAATTTTACTATTTCTTTGTTTTAAAGAAGTCAGTTTTAGCATTTTTAGATAAGTTTAACAAGTGTGCTCTGGGAGTTCTTTTTAACTGACCATAGCTTCCCTTTTCCCAATCTTTTGGCTAACAGCAGGAACCAGTATGGTTATGGAGACTGCCGTGCCGCAGATTGCTTGCTGCTGTGGTGTGCTAACCAGTCTTGCTGCCTGATCAAATTTGCTTCTCTTTGTGATCAATTTTGTTTGACACCTTTTCCTTTTTTTTAATACACCAGGCACTGGGTGAGATGTTCAGTTTGAGATGTGCACTGAACATGGTTTATTGTAATAATGTTCAATATCCATTAGTGTTGCCTATACTGATATGGTTGACATGACTATGTTCAATTTTTATGTGGGAAGTTGGTTGAACTATTGAAACCATAAAATTGGTAGGCAATTTACTGTAGTTGGTAATGAGTCAGTTAAGAAAAGGTTTCATTTCATGTGAACCTTGTTGATCGTTGATTCTTTTACATGTAGGCTGGCTCATGTCCTGCTGCAAATCTTAAAGGAGGGTTTACCTGTAAATTTACTTTTCTCTCTTCTAGGAAACCTCCAGCTTTTCTCTGTTCAAAGGATATTTTAATTCTTGTTTCCAAGTTAATATTGCTTTATTTTAATTCATGATTGTCACAGCAGGTCTGCCTCTCCTCGTCGCTCTCCACGCAGGAGGTCTCATTCCCGCAGCCGAAGCCGCTCGCCGAGAAGATCACGATCTGATTCCAGGGACAGGAGGTAAGCTACTACTGTCTTTGATAAACACTATTTGTCGTCTAATGCCCTCCACTTACACCATTACTTCCACCATTTAACATCTTTTCTGAAGTGCACTTCCTTCTGTTGAGTGTCTCATTGTCGTTGTTAGTGTGCACCCATTGGGTTGAGTTTCATCTTTTACTGATGCAGCTTTTCTTGAAATGAAAGTTTCAAGTTTTAGTTTCTTAGTTTGCTTGGGACGGTTTAAGGTTCTTAAGGGTTTGTGCTCTGGGCCATTCTCCGTATTGCACTACATCAGCCTTTAATGTTGACCTTCTGTTGAGTCAGGCTGTCCTTCCATGAAATTTTCTTTCCAACTTTTTCTTTCATAGCAATCTGTTTTTATTTTTGAAGCTTTTTGTCTGACTGGTGTGTATAGTGTGAAGACAGCTTTAGAGGCTGGTGATAATGCCATTTTTCTTGTTTCAGATGAGCACTTTACCTGCTTCTCACCCTGAGGAGACCATCTTTAAATTTGCTATTATTTGAACTTTGATAATGGTGTATCAATTTAATTTGCATCAAATATTATTTCATGCTTAACACCAATGTTGACATTTATGTTCAATTCATGTGACTCAGTATAAACAGTCTTTATCTGTGAGATTTTATTGTATTTCCATTCCTATTAATAAATCAAAACGACCCTTGTATAAAGTTTGTTGATGTAGTTTAGTTTACCTTTGGGCTCATTCACAACACAATTCTAATATGTTGGTCTCTAAGGGAACTTAAAGCTTACGTATATATTTTAATGTAGATGGGTATCCATTGCCTTTACAGGGATGCACTGTTACAGGATTTGAATTCCTTGGGCTAGTAGTTAGATGTTACCTCACATATTTTGTGTTTAAAGTAGCTTGCAAAACTAGCTCAGGTGGAAAGTTGAAGGTGTAGTTTAATGCTTACGGGTGCAATTTGAAATAAAAAAGCTGTGCTGAAACACATCTGCTCATCAGCAATATTGACTGACAGTTATAAAATATGAAACAGACATGACATAATTGGGGATCATTTTGTGAGCATTTCCTGTTACTTTGCAGGTCGTATTCTCCTCGCCGCCGCTATCGTAGTCGTAGCAGGTCATTGAGCTGAAGGCGCAGCCGGCGGTCTTTCTCGTTTGACAGAAGGTGAGGACGTTACTACCTGTCCCAGCTTAAAGTCCCAATGTCAGACGGAGAATGGAAGTGGTAAGAAAATAAAATCACCAACTTTTTACATTGCAGGTAATGGGGACTTTTCAAGTGTGAGACCTGTGGTGTAATTTCATCTTCTGAACCACTTTTCACACCCACACAATGAATGAATTGTTCATGTATAATTGTGTTATTGCAATGTGCTCAGCACTCTTTTGCTAACTTCCCTTCAAGGGACCATTGTGTAATTTAAGCTAAAAGATTGATTGAGGTGTTAAATTTGACGTCATATTTCACAAATCTAAGTGTTATTTTAATTTTATTTGCTATGCCACTGAATAAAATGGTACATTTAATTTTCATGTGATTTTGCTCCATCCATAAACCCTTTTCACCATTAATGCACTCATGTGCCAAAGGCCCACATGAAGGGGGAAAAAAAGAGAGGGAAGACATGCAGTCATGAAAATACCTGAATACATATATTTTCTCAATTAAATTAAAAAAAAAAAAAAAAAAAAAAAAAACTCTTCTTGGTTTGTTAGGAAGTGCAATTAACGAGGAAGCACCCCTTCCAAAAGAAAACACTACCAACACCAGTCATTTGAGATTTTGTCACTGCAATTTATGTTTGTCTTGAAATGCAAAATACATGTATTTCAACAAAATTTGAACTAACACTACAGGGTATACGGGGTATACATACTTTGGTGTTTTGGTGCCTCTGTGAGGCCACAAAATCTCTCCTGAGAAAAATAACTTCTTTATAAAGATATACATTCCTAACATTGTGATGAAATAATGAAACAATTTAAATCGCACCGTCAAAAACCACGCTTTATCGGTATTTGTTGCAATAACTGAAATGATGGGCCAACCAAACTACCGAGACCCTTCAAATGTGCGAGCCTTCTGGTCAGGTCGGGGTTCGGGCTTCTTCGGCAGTCACGACGAGACTTCGTTTCGTAAACGCGCTGTTTCTATCGTGACCGTGACGTCACGGCATTCATATCGCATTGTGCATTGTGTTACGTTACATTGGTGCGTTTGTACACGGCCCGAAGATTTTACCGAAAACTATCCCAAATTGACCACTGATGTAGCAGATCAAGGTGGAAAAATCTTCGACTGGTTCGAGATAAGGCAATTACGCATTACCAAAGGGAAACACGGTGTAACTCCGCTAGTTCTTTTAAAAATCAGTTCACCTATAATGGACGCAAATGATGGTTAGTTCCGAAAACGTTTAGTCCCGTTTTTTTACCTTCTTACCTACGCACTAATGCGTAATAGTGAAATTTTTGTTCTCATATAACTTGTAGTGTTGACTTCTGATAACTCTTTAATAGACCTTTTTTGGATGATTTGTGTTTCGCTTCCCATAACCTCGAAGACCGTTATCCACTGTTTGTATATTTTCAGAAAATTCGTGGAATGGAGAGGAGGATGACTCCGAGAGACCAATCAGGCAAGGGCCAAAAAAAGAGAAGAAAGGCAACACATTACCAATTTGGGGTAATGAACGGACAATGAACATGAACCCACTTATTCTTACGAACATACAATCGTCACATTACTTTAAAGGTAAGCAAATGTTCAAATTCTCCAATTTTTCTATTGCATTGCTGTATTTTGCTCTTAATTAATTTGCTTCTTGGTTTTCAGTTAATCTTTATGAGCTGAAGACTTATCATGAAGTTATTGACGAAATATACTACAAAGTTCAGCATATGGAACCATGGGAAAAAGGCAGTAGGAAAACTGCTGGTCAGACAGGCATGTGTGGTGGTGTAAGTATTTTGTTCTTCCTTTTATGTGTTGACTCAGCACCAGTAGTTACTTCAATACCTGTTTAACATTCGGGGGAAACTATCTCTTCATGTAAGCTTTGCAATGTCACAAAAAAAAAAGTTCTGGTGTGATGGTTTTATTGACGATAATCACAGTGATGAATATGGTCATAACCTTTTCTCTTTACTGATGCTCACTCATATGTTTGAATTCTGAAATGATCTATGAGTGCTTTCAGATTGCAGGAGCCTCATGTGACATGATGGGACGAAATGAGCCTGGAGGGTTTGACTGGTGTTTTTCGTAGAGTACCTCAAGTCATAATGAGTGAGAGCCCTTTGATTTTGTTGTTGTGCATGTCCAATTTATATCTTAATCTTGATGTGCTTAAGTGTAACACTCTCAACTCTTGTCCTTATTCCAAACCTTTTAGCCTTGGGGCTTATTTGTTTTTGTTTTTCTTTTTTGCTCCATTGTGTTCTGAAACTCCTGTGACTAATTGTTCTTTCTTAAACAAAAATGAAATGGTTCGGTTCCATTTGGTTGAGTTTTTACTATACTTCCTAAATTGTAGCTGACCGCACAATTCATCATAGTTAAATGTGAAGCGTCAGACAATGAAAATCACGTTAATTAACCAACTGTAGTTAGTTAACTACAGTAATATTCTTTTTTAAGGCTGGTAGCAATAGTTTTAAAGTTTGCAAAGTATAGCCCCCTTTCTAATACCCTGAAGCAATTTAAGTCTACATCAGTATAGCAGCTTGTAGGCTGTAAGCTTTTCTTTTGCAAGTTTCTGTTTCTTATTTCTTACGGAGAATTTTGTGGCTTTCTGTTCCATGTGGTGCTCAGGTTCGAGGTGTGGGTGCTGGAGGCATCGTGTCCACTGCATACTGCCTGCTCTACAAATTGTTTACCTTGAAGTTAACAAGAAAGCAGGTAAATGGGCTAATCACCCATCAAGATTCACCTTATATTCGTGGTCTTGGTTTTATGTACATCAGGTAAGTTTTTGCTCTGGTTCCGACCCCACCTACCAGCCTGAGCTTGTAGCTCTTACTGGATGCACTATGTGTGTTAGAAAGAGCTTGTAGGATATCTTAGACTCTGAGGGAATGTTGATTTCTACAGAACATCAATATGTCTAAATGAAAATGGGAAATTTCTGAGAAACTAAGACTGCCAGGCATATACTTCTTTAAAAATGTACTATCTTCCTTTGTCTTTTCCAGGTACACACAACCACCAGCTGACTTATGGGACTGGTATGATGAGTACCTTGAGGATGAAGAGGTGCGTATCATGTGGCTTTTTTAACACTAATCTTTTTTAACGTTTACAGTGTTCTGGTGTCACATTCTTGATGGGGCCCGTGCATTTTTAGGAGTTCTGGTAGATTACTTGGAGGTCATTTAAGGACTCTCGTTCATTAATCCTCAGTTTGAGAGAAATCTGCTATCATGCAGTGAATGGTGCAGAAAAATATTTTTCTCTCCTCATAAGTGGTGAGGCAGGTGGAAGATAGGCTCCCAGAAAAATAAACACTTGTCTATGTGTTGTTACACACTTCAATAATCTGAAAGGTGCTTGCAAAATGTATCTGATGCAGTGCTTTGTTTGATCTGTTGCAGGAAATTGATGTGAAAGCTGGTGGAGGACAGACTATGACAATTGGTTGTATGTTAAGAATCTTTTTAACCAAACTAGAATGGTTCTCAACTCTCTTTCCTAGGATTCCAGTACCTATTCAGGTAAATTGCTGTACCACTCAGATACTATGAAACAGATGTACATTTTGTGGCTCATTGTATTATTATGTGTTCACAGCAATCCCTAGAAAAAAAAATGTCCGAACGCTTCCCTCACAATGCACCAATCCGGCAACCTCCAAGAAATGTTGGTGGACCATCTCGTCCTGTTGATCGGGGGGGTGATGATGGGTTTGGTGAGGCCGAAAAGTTTTCCAAACACCGAAGGTTAGTAAACAGAATAACTCTAATCTAATTAATTTTCTACATCCCTGCTGTTTATCATAAGGACTATATTTACTGGTAACTGCATTTTTTATTTTTTTTTAGGGATTCACCAAATGGAGGTCCACCGTTTAGTGATGGCAGCTCCTTCCTTAGAGACAGCTACCGTGAAAGGGATGTAAGGCCACAAAAAGACAGAGATGTCAGAGATGGAGATCGTAGCAGAGACCGCGATAGAGACAGGGATAGGGACCGAGAAAGAGAGAGGCACAGAGACCGGGAGCGTGAGAGAGACCGTTACAAAGGGCACGGTCAGAGCCGAGATCGCAGCAGAAGTCGGGACAGGGAACGAGAACGGCACCATGGACGGGACAAGGACAAATACAGGGAACGGGACTATAGAGAACAACACACTTCTAGAGACAGGTATGTTGACAATATTAGACAATTACTTCTTTTTCTTTAGAGCACCCCTCCTGATTAATCTCTTAATTTTATTTTTTCTTTCCCAGGCATCGTTCCTCTAGCTATAGGTGAATACCGCTGCTGTGACATGTTTGTGGGATTAAATATGATGTGAGCCACTGATGTTTTAGAGCAATGTCATTTTTTCACTGCTCTCGTAATCAAGTTCAAGTTCCATTATATTGCACACTTTGAGTATAAAGAAGATATTTTTGAGAAGAGATAATAAATTAGAAGCTGGTCTAATATAGTAACACATATTTTAATTTTATTCATCAAGTAGCGTTTGTTTTCACGGGTGTCTTCAAGAGAGTTGTATTTTTCTTTCTAAAATTCTATTTTGAATTAGTTTGTATTTTCGAGCCAGTAGTTGAAAATCCACTTATTTTACCAAACTTCCATTTTAATTTCATTGAATAAATTATATTTGATTCATTTTTTTTCTGCCTAAATTGTTGTGAAGCCTCAGGGACATTTTCAGTCTGTGTATAATTATAGAGGACTTAGAGTGTGATACAACCATGCCATGTTTTTAACTATAGACTGTAAAAAAAAAGAGGCTTTTGAAAGTTGCTGTAATATTAGCACACATTGGATGTTCCTTTATTCAGCTACATTTTGTAAATGTGGATATATTAAAATATTTATGTGAAATGTATCCAGTATTATTTGTAACATTATAAAAAACAATCTTTCCTCTGTTGAAAGCTTCAGGTTCATAATCAATCAATTAACTCAGTTGTACTGGACCCCCACTGAACGCTTGCTTCATTTGTTCAAGTGCAGGACCGTGAACCTTCTGAAAACCAGGGAGTTTCTCTTCACAGCGCCGTAGCCAAGCAGATACTCGTGGAGGTACAACATCCGGCAACAGACTCTGTAAATATTTAAGGCAGTCAAATACATTTTCCCATTGAAACAGCACTGGACAAATACAACTGTATCTGAATTCACCTCAGCACTGATGGCTGCCGCTGAGCAATGACAGTCTGCAATTGTGGGCCAGTCGAGAGCAATGAATTGGCTGTCACCCAAGAGTTTGTCGAGGTCTTCCAAGACTTCCTTCACATGTGCGATATGGTCGGGGTTAGGTTTTTCGCCAAACAGAACAGGGACCTGGATTGCAAAAGAGTCAAGATTTAGGTTTACAAGAGATTTACAAATTTCAGAATTTACAACACATGATGAACTTACCCCCATCTTCTTCAATGCTGGACCGAGAACACCATTGTCGAAATGCAGTCGTTGATCAACAACTCCTCGAAGACGGGGTTCTTTGGGGTACCATTTGTCATCCTTACCATATGCATTGACAAGGTAGCAGGATATGGCATGACTATGACAAAGTTGAGGAAAAATTAATCAGTTTTAACTTCTTAATGCTAATAGTTTAGGTTGAACAAACTAAGCATAAAAATGTATATGAATTGCACAAACCTGTCAAAAAGAACATAGTCACCATCCACCAATGTTGGAATGGAGTGAATTGGATTCAGCTGGAATAAAAAATTAAATCAATTGAGTGAAAGTGGAATACACTTATCGGAAACCCTGAGATTCTACAGCAGTTCATACCTTCAAGTATTCTGGTTTGTGATGATCCCACTTTGTAACATCAAGGAATTTGAGTTTGTATTTGACATCTAGTGCTTCACAGGTCATCATTGTTGCACGGAGAGGTGGGCTGATCTTGAAACCATAAAGTTCAACAGGCTCCATGGTAGTTGTCTGTCAAAAGATGTAATTAATTAGTTGTATCACTTTCAAAGTTAAAACCCTATTAGAACACCGAACACTACAGAGTATTTCCCCACAGCGCATATGTGGGTGTAACAAAATCGGTCTCACTTGGTGTCACTCCTTTATCCCTATACAAGTCGAAGTAAGCTTACTTGTTTCTAGAAACTGGAAGGAAGCTGCGTGGTCAGTTTGCCCTTGACACCCGACTGCGGTGACTGCTGACGCGGCTCTGTTGTGTAAGTATCTGGAGTGGAGAGTGGAGGCTCTTTAAACATTGGACTGGCTGGAGGGGGGAGATTACGTGATCGCGGCCCGCTCGCCCATGGCTCCCTAGGAGGCCCTCAGGCTAGGGAGCCTGGAGGGGGGAGAGTCGCAGAGATCACGTGATCAGGGCCCACCGGCCGCCCACCGCCCACGCCACGGCCCTCCTATTTGGCCCTCCCTTCCCCCGTCTCCGCTCCCTCCCTCCCCCCTCTGGGGACTCTGCGTCGGATCGGATGGTTCTCCAGGTTATTGTGAGGAAAATTATAGTTGTTAAATTTTTTATTAAATTTTTTCGTGGAAAATTAATTTGAAATTTTGTCATAATGCTATTTGTAGGTCTGACATCCTAACCGCAAAAAGTTTTTTTTAAACGAACCCGTGTAGTCAAGTGTCATCACATTTGGAGTACGCCAAATTGATCTCAATTGACCTAAAAGGAGTCATTTTGAAGTCATCATGACATCGTTTTGACACTCATTTTGAGCGTAAAATGACACCCTTCAGTTATAATGACATCACTTTGACCTTTTCTGTTCCCTGGGGAAGTCCCGGGCCTTGAGGTGGCGCTGCGCCATACAGTCAGAGTCAAGGCCAACGGTCCAATCAGACAATGGAAGACCGCCTAGTGCGTGGATACTCCAGCATAAGGACTAGGAGTGGGCCGGGGACCTCCCGGTTCTAACTAGTTCTAACCGGCCGCCTCGGGTAAAGTCGACTTTAACAGGCTAATGTCGTTTTTAACCGGTTAATGTCGACATGGTCATTATTCAACAGTGTATTCAACAGCGTTTCATAAATCTGGATATATTAAAATAATATTTATGTGAAATGTATCCAATGCTTTATTTTTAACAGTTTAAAAGTAATTGTTAATCTGTTGTAAATTACAATTTTGAAATTGTCTTCAAGTCAACTGTACTAAACAATTGCTTTAATTGTTCAACTGCAGGAGAGTGAACCTTTTGGAAACCAGGGAGTGCATCTTCACAGCGCCGTAGCCAAGCAGACACTCGTGGTGGCACAATATCGGGCATCACACACTGTAGAGATTTAAGCCGTCAAACAGATTTCCGACTTGAAACAATAGCAAAAGACAACTGACTTCGGAACTCACCTCAGCACTGAGGGCCGATGATGAACAATGGCAGTCTGCAATTGTGGGCCAGCTAAGAGCTATGAATTGGCTGTCACCTAAGAGTTTGTCAAGGTCTTGTAAGGCTTCTTTCAAGCTAATTACATGGTTGGGATTGGGTTGTTTGCCAAACAAAACAGGAACCTGTAGTGCAAAAGAAAAAATTATTTTTAAATTTAAAATTATTTTATAAGTTAAGTACACTATGAACTTACTCCCAACTTCTTGAATGCTGGACCAAGAACACCATTGTCGAAATGCAGTCGTTGATCAACAACTCCTCGAAGACGGGGTTCTTTGGGGTACCACTTGTCATCATTACCATACGCATTGACAAGGTAAGAGGATATGGCATGACTATGACAGAAAGTGGAACAAAATAAACAGTTTTAACTTCACACTATTAGTTTGAATAACCAAACCAGGCATGAAAACATCAATCAATTGGTCGAACCTGTCAAAAAGAACATAGTCACCATCAACCATAGTTGGAATGGAATGCAATGGATTTAGCTGGTATAAAAAATTAAAGAAATAGAGTAAAAGTGGAGTAAACACTCTCATAGGAAACTGTGAGATTCTAAAGCGGCTCATACTTTTAAGAATTCTGGTTTGTGATGATCCATTTTTAAAACATTAAGAAACTTGAGTTTGTATTTGACGGCTATTGCTTCACACGTCATCATTGATGCACGAAGAGGTGGGCTGGCAATAAAACCATAAAGTTCAATGAGCCTCATCGTAGGAGTCTGTAAGAAACAAATTACTTGTAAGCCTCTCAAAGTTGACTACTTTTGCCTTCCCTTTTGACAGCTCACTGGCAGCCACACTATCAGCTGACAGGTAAGGATCAAAAGTCAAGGTGGTGTGTGACATCACAAAATTTTAATCAGTGCAGATTTAGTATGCGCAAGGATGTTTAGCATACCCCAAACTTAGCACCTCTGGAGAACTATAGCCACATGTGCAGATAAACCTGGATAAATGTAAAAAACAAAGAAAAACAAATATACACACAACAAACAATAACAAAACGAAACACTAACAACAACAACAGTCGACTGTCATTCGATACCATCGATGAACCATCGAGATTTTTTGAGCGAGTCGAGCGCTTCCGCGTCCGCGTGTTGTGATTCTCGCGCGTTTAGTTGTCAAAATCAACTTTTCGTGTTTACTCTCATATTTTGCGTTGATACTGCAATGAAGTGTGTAAATATATATAGCAAATGTAAGTCAATAGTTAAATTATATTTTCTTTGGTTAATCTAATGTGGGTCTTGGTTCAAATGTCAAAGTTATACTGTGAACGAGGTTAGGTGTTCGTGTTTGTTTGATTACTAAGCTTATAACTTTTTGAGATAGTGGTGAACTACTATTGATACAACCGTAAAGTGTAATTCCTTTTATCAAATTAATTTACTTATGAACCATCAGTAGGGTGATTGACATTCTTGCCAACAACTTTTAAAAGTCAAAGTCTGCTGCATCAACCACAGTTTTATTTTTCTGTGAATAGACTTGCGTTTGCCTTTAATCAGTTTTACAACACCTTACAGAACATGGAACAAAATGAGGGTGATGGTACTGTTTTAATCCTGCAAGTTGATGAGCACGGGAAGCAACAGCAGTTTTCATTTGAGAACGAGCTTCAAGGGGTGTAAGTTTTTAGTTCATTGTAATGAAAAGAGTGGAACATTTCTGTTAAGAATTCACCACTTTCCCTTGTCATTGTATTTCAGAACTGAGCTGGGTCTTGGTGAAGTTGATGAAACTCTCCTAGATCACAGCAACCTCATGGACAAGCCAATCAAGCTGGAACATTTGGGGGCGGATGACGCAATGATAATGCTTCAGGGCGATGACTGTGTCCTTGGGACAGATACAAGTGCCACTGATGAAGCAGGTGTGACAAAATAGGTTTTTAAAGATTAAGAAATAGAGTTGTAAATATTGTATTTATCATGTTTCTACCTGTTTTATTTTCCCCATTATTTGTAGGAAATCTTATATCAGTTGATGGTGTCTTGGATGGTATTGGGCTGGAGATGGTAGAAGATATTGATATGAATAAATCAGCGGAAAGCCCTTCCAAAGATCCATTATCACCAAATGAAGATCAGCAAGATGAGTGAGTAAACGGTCCTGAGACTATCAATTAATTTCTGCCGTTATTTGAAAGTATTATTATGTATCAATTTTATTGCAGCGATGACATTATTGTCCAGCATATGGACATCCGACAGCCTTTATCTACGCTACGTGTATTGCTTGAGCAGAGGTTGGCTGTAGATCTGTCAGATTATGAATTTTGGCTCCAGGATTCTCAAATGGTAATTTCATTAGTTTAAAATGTGTGATGCAAGACATTGTACTTTCCTCTTGGTTAACTTCTTTAGTTACCTATTTATTGAATTTTCAGTTGGAGAGCCATAAAAACTTAGTAGACCAATGTGTCCAAGGTGAAGGTTTGGTGCAGGTCAATGTTCGAATAAAGACTGATGGTAAAGTTAACAAAATCAACATTGAAGATGTTTTGAAACCAGCTGAGGATGGTGACATTGAAGAAACTGAAGAAAGTCAAGGTATAGATGTTGTAAATTCATTTGATTCCTCCCCCTCCTGCAATTTGAACTGATATTGTGTGTAGTGATTTTTACGTATTTTTGGCTGACTTTTGTTTTCTATTTTTAGAATCTACACGTATACCATCTCCCACCAGTCCTCCCGCTGCAAACCCTGTAAGATGGATTGTTGATGCAAAGTTTAAAAAAGAGATGGAAAAACTCAGCATACCACCTGGTATAACAGTTATTTTAATATATTTTTTACCATCCATCTTTTACATCTGTCTTGTTTTTGTTTTAATTTCTCTTGCATTCCAGATCCAAATGATTGGTCTGCTGCTCAAGTGCTACACTGGCTTCAGTGGGCTGTGAGGCACTTTAGTTTAGTAGGAATTCAACTAAAGGATTGGGCTATCACTGGGGAAGACTTATGTAACATGACTATGGCCCAATTCCAGTCAAAAGTTCCACTTGATCCTGGTGACCTATTCTGGACTCACCTTGAACTTCTCAGGAAATGCAAGTTTGTTGGTAAGTGTGTTAATCTATCCATCTATCTTGCGAGTCTTGGCAAAAAATAATGTTTTTTGTTTGTTCTAAAGCTGTTGTGCATACTAAAGCACATAAAGAACCAAAAGAAAAGTCTCATGCTCTTGCAAGCCGAAATCAGACTTATGTGCACTCCAAGCAACACAAACCTTCAGGTCAAGGCAAACTTCATGGGAAACCAAGATCAGCCAGGGTGTCGGGCTTACCTTTGGGTTCTATGGATGCTACAACAATCGGATGTGGGAACCGCTCAGGTATCAATTAAACTCTCTTCGTTTTATGTAATCTTGAAGTATTAAAACTACTGATCAGTTCACTAAAATTCTTTTACAGGAAATAATGGTCAAATTCAGTTATGGCAATTTTTATTAGAATTATTAACTGATAAAGAACACAGAGATGTTATTCAGTGGTTGGGTGATGATGGTGAATTTAAGCTTCTCAATCCAGAAATGGTTGCACAGCTTTGGGGTGAGAGGAAAAATAAACCTACAATGAACTATGAAAAGTTAAGTCGAGCTCTAAGGTACTATTATGATGGGGATATGATATCAAAGGTATGTCTCAATTCTGAATTTTATTTGTCCTATGAAAAGACTTCCATGATTGTGTTTTTTATTCTAATTTTCCTATTTCAGGTTCAGGGCAAGAGATTTGTGTATAAGTTTGTGTGTGATCTTAAACAACTTTTGGGATATAGTGCTAGTGAACTTAATGCTTTAGTTGAAGAGTGTGAAAGAAAATCATTGGGTTTCAATCCTCAATATAATTTATCACCTGTCCATGTTTAATATATTGTACACTGTATTACATATACATTACTTTGTTACCTGATACTGATTTCATCTTAAAACTTACCGTTTCATTTTATTTTCTGGTTTGCCCTGCTTTTGAATTGTTATTTCCATAGCTCACAGTTGTATGGAGACTATTTACCACCCCCGGTGTATTTTTGTATGCTGTTTCGCTCTTTAGAGAAAAATATTTAATATCCATCTAAAAGATATGCATGAAGTTTACTTTCTCAATTAACTTTCATTGATGGATTAATGATTATTATTTAATAGATTTGTGTGTTGCCGGAAAAACTAACATGATGGTGTGCTTTGTAGTTTGTGTTTATGGCCTGTGTTAGTTAGGCGAATGTTGGATGTATTAAATGTTCTGGAACTGTTTTTAATTACAATATTGGTTTTAAAAGGTGATATAATTATGATAAGACATGACGAAGGCGGCAATGTTACATTGCTTTCTTGTAAAACTGCCACTTTTCTCAATTTACAGGTTAACATATTTATTTTGTTTACTAAGAAGCTTTACATAGTAGAGGCTATCACAATCAAGTTTTAAGTTTTAGCATTGATCAATGTTTTATGCAGACATTGAAAGCTTGCCGGATGTTCCTAATCAATTTTATTCAAAGTCTGTGCTGGTCAGATCTTTCTATAAACTTTACTAGTTTTGTAAAACAAAATTCTTTCATATATTTTCAATAAATTGACGTTCATATTCTCTATTGTTAAATAACTCGTTTATTTTTTTCCGTGAGAAAGTATGTATGAAGTTTGATGTGAGATGTACCCAGTCTTAGTAGTCGTCCTGGTCGTCGGGCATGGTGTCCTCTTGCACCTCCCGGTAGTCCATCTCGAGGGCGGCCAGGTCTTCCCTCGCCTCGGAAAACTCTCCTGAGAATCGAAACGGTCGCCGGCCATAGTCACAGAGAACAGCCGCCTTTGCGGGAAGAAAACGGGGGGGGGGGGGGAGGAAAGGTTGCAATAAGCGCCATGGACTCACCTTCCTCCATGCCCTCGCCGACGTACCAGTGCACGAAGGCCCTCTTGGCGTACATGAGATCGAACTTGTAGTCGAGCGCGGCCCAGGCGTCCACGATGGCGCTCGTGTTGCACAGCGAGCAGACGGCACGGGAGACTCGCGCCAGGTCCCCGCCGGGCACCACGGTGGGTGGCTGGTAGTTTATCCCAACCTGCGGGTGTGGAATTGGGGTAGAAAAAATCAGTAGGATCAGTCCCCGGCTTTGTTCGAACAGACAGAGCTTTCTCAGGAGTTGTCATTCCCTGCCGTCCAACCGTATTCAGGAGGAAAATTGAAATTGAAATAATTTTTATTTAAGGACTTCATACACTGGTAAAACAAAGGTAGGATATCCTACCTTTAAAGGGCGTTAAATCTCCAAAGGCATTACAATTTATGTTTTTTCGAAATATTTCTTCCCCATGGAACAAAATTGGATTCTAAAACCTATTTTCGTAATCTACGCAAAATTCCGCGTCAAACGAGCCTACATATGATGGGGTTCTGTTCAATAATGGCATAGATTAATTTCATTATTAGTACTTTTTGACTTGCTTTTCATTTGCTGACCGCTTATCTGAACCCTATCACATGTAGGCTCGTTTGACGCAAAATTTTGTGAGGAATGCGATGATGAATCTCAAAATATGATTGGTTTGCTCATATAGAAAATATTTTGAAGAAACTGAAAATATGCTCTTTAGCACCCTTAAAACGAGTTTAACGCCCCTGGAAAGGTAGGACATCACACCTTTGTTTTCCCAGTGTACTCCAACGGCTAACCTATCTTTCGGATGTCGTGCTCTCTTATGCATATGTTCAAATTAAGAAAGTGTTTATGGTAAATCTTATATTTTGATCAACAAAAGTTTGTCTCAATCCTGTTCACGATTTGATTTACGAGGGCCAATCTTATGAATCTGAAATTTTCAATTCTTGAACTCAAGTTCTCTTCCACCTCATTTATAAATTCCAGAACGTTTGGTTTTTCTGCACGCAAGGAGAGTGAAACTCTAGATGAGATGAAGAGGAGGAGGGAGAATCGTGCCGTGAAAAAAGGAAAGCTTTCATGCAGAGAACCCACACAAATCTGCCTTGGAACAGCGTGAAATGATGAAAGGGCTGCAATCATCTGGAAAACCCAGTCAACAAAGCAGCTACCATTTACTTTCGGGAGGCATTGGGGATGATCCTATGGGAATCCTTCACAAGTACTACTGGGACGTCCCGAAAGTACATGCCACGGAGTTCTTCAGGATGTGCTTGGCAGCATGTCCTAATTCACATCCCGGATAGGATCTAATTGGGAGGCACTTGTGATTGGATGTACTGAGAAGTTACTCCTCAGGACATACCAACAGTGGAGCTCCGAAGGGATGTCCCACCGAGGTGCTACTTAGCATGTCCCCAGACAGAACATACCATCCCAGTACCTCCTTAGGTGGACCTGCTCATCTGCTGCTAGGGATGTCCCACCGAGGTGCTACTTAGTACGTTCCCAGACAGGACATACCATCCAAGTACCTCCTTAGGTGGACCTGCCAATGTGCTGCTAGGGGCGCAACAGTGGGGTTCTACCCAGCATGTTTTAGTAAAGACATCACACGTGGGAGCTACCACAGAATGTCCCGACGATACTGCCCCGAAGGGCATCCTTTAAAGGTTCTGCTTAGTATGTTCTCGAGCGAATAGAATTTTATGTAGCTACCAATTTCTGACGGCTTATTTAAGCAAAAGTGGTAATTGGGTGTATTGTTTTGCTAAATGAGAACAAAAGTTCACACTGGAGTGTAGCTGTGTAAGTTAGGATGTTTTTAAAATTTAAATAGGATAAAAGTTGGAAGGGGAGTGGGAAACGAACTAAATAAACAGAATATAATTTCAAAAAATGCAAAATAAAAGGTTAGTAGCAGTATTATAATTTGCGCCTACGCCAAGTCGGCGCGACCTCATCGCAACCCAGTAACGTCCTGGGGAGGTCCCTAGGTGGTCCCCGGGAGGTCTGGGCGGTGCCCGGCACCCCGTGGCATGACATCCTGTTCCTCAAGCCATCCTCCCATCTCGTCTCCGTGGCCCAGTGGGCAGCGTGGGCGGCCAGTAACCCCACAATGAATGAAATTAAATCCACCTGCCATCTATACTATCTACTATCTATCTACCTTGACCGAGTGGTTGTGCACCCGCTTCTCCTTCTTCGCCACCTTCATTTCGCCCTACT